CTTGCGTTTTTAGGGATTGTTGGGGGAGCAGTTGGGGCGATGTCAAAGTATAGCAAAGTTCACGGCGTTGCGAATGTTTCAGCTACTTATGCTACTAATCTTGCCATTGTTGCCGGCTGTTATTGTGGTATTCTTCTTTAATAGAATTATCATTATGTTCAATTGTTAATTTTGACTTGAATGATCACTTTATAAGAGTAAACGGTAAACGTTTTCAGTATTAATTGATTTTGATGTGTACTTAAAGTATATAATTTCATGGCGCTAATGACTATATAGTGTCTTTTGAGGGACAATGTTCATTTGTATGATTTGGTATCGTGGTTGACGATGTAGATCATCGCGTGGAGATTGGTGTTTAAGTGATTCAAATTGCTAAGTATCCACAAACTGAGGCTGTTTTTTTTTGTCAAACCTGCTTTTTTGGTTGGGTTATGGGTGCTTTTTAAAGTTTGATTATTAATGGAAAACTAAGGGTTATTGATATTCTGATGGAACTAGATGCGCAAGCTTGCTCATGAAAACATGATCAATGTTTGTGTGAGTAGTTAGGATAAATATTCATAAAAATGGGGTTTAGTCAGCTATATGGCCATTAAATTGTGAAAGTAATGTCTAAATGCGCAATGCTACAAAACACCACTCCTTTCTAGATAGATTATCATTTTTTGCTTTGTGAGGTCCAACTTTGGCTGAAAATTACTCTTAGACTATGTTAATAAAAATCATATTGCACTCTTGGAATGTATTGATGGAATTCTTATTGCTAAATGTCAATTCTTGTTCTTGATATGCAAAAGATGTTCTTGGAGTTGCATAGTTATTTGAGGATTTCAATAATAAATTATATCTAATTTGTGATAAAAGAGAAATGAACCATACTAAATTTATAGGGTAGATGATTTGAATCAAAAGGACTTCTTTTGATCAAAATCTTGATCCTTACACCGATTGGACTATCTGCTTGCTTTTGACTAGAGTGGAATGATCAATCCATTACTGTTGGATAGTCCATTAAGCCTGCCAATATTTGCAGTCTGGCTGTAGCATTAGATCATGTAAGTTAGGGCTCATCTCACTCAAGCCTAAGATTCTTGGCTAGGGTTAAGTATTGCTTTCATCAAAAGCCTTGTTTGAATTCTAACAAATCTACCTATGAGCTATGAGTGCCAGGTGACAATTTCTATCTAAAAATAGGCCTAGGCTCTCCAAGTTTTGAGATTGATGAGATTGAGATAGTTTCCTTTGACAGTCGGCCTTTGCACTTACCAAATTACCCTTGGACCTTCTTTTAGTGAGGTTTGACCCTTGCTTATTTTTTGCTCGTGTGTGAAGTAGAAAGTCAAATTGTTTGTGTTTTAGGAATTTAATAATTACTTTTTGTTAAATAGCAGATTTTCTTGCTCCTCAAGAAACTGGACTTAAGTTTTTGACCATTTTAAGGCAAACACTAACCTGAGATAGTGAAGCCAGAAAGGTTGGAGTTCAACAGGACTAATACTAGAGCCAGATACTTTCAAAGTTTCAATTCTTGAGGAAAGTCCTATGCCTTGCAAAAATTCTGATGTAGATTGGAGAAGAGTTGCTGCTTAAAACTTTCAGGGGGAGGGGCAAGGCCAGAAGGGTTTGGTGTTTTAAGTTGGCCAAATTAGTTGGAGGGTCTGTGGTTAACTTCTTAAGGTGATGAGGAGTCATTTTGCAAAAAAAATTGTGGGGATATCAAAACTTTCAGGGTGGAGGGGCGAGGCTATAAGAGTTTGGTGTTTTAAGCTGGCCAAACTAGTTGGAGGATCTGTGGCTAACTGCTCAAGGTGATGACTCATTTTGTAAAAATCTGAGGGGATATTATGTTTGGGCCCTTTGCGGTGGTGTTGGTGGTGGGGGAAGGGGGGGGGGTGTGTGTGTAAAGTAGACTCTTGGCATTTCAGTAACAGAATATAAGACTTAAACATTCCTAATTGTAAAATCTGATTAACGAGACTAACATTATAGGGTTTAGTTTATGCCTTGGGCTTGTTTTATCAAACGTGAGAAACGACATTTGCTTTCTTCCTATTATGATAGTTTTATTTTGGTTAAACTCAAGAAGAATTTCGCTCATATCATTTATTGGTTGTTTCTTTTCCATAGACATTGACCTAATTTTATTCTATTTGAAATCTTTGTACTGTCCTTAAGTTCACTGAGTGCACATTGTGATGTTGAAATGCTATTTGCTGCCATACTGTGTGAAAATGACATTCTATGTACGGAGCATATAGTTTTAACTGAGCATTTTGATTTTTGACTTGCAGGAGCTCGTGAGTTTACGAGAGTAACTCGTAAATCTGAACCTGGTGATCTCATCGACTCTGCTATTGGAGGATTTTGTAGTGGAGCACTTCTTGGCCGCCTCCAAGGTTAGTATTTTTCTGGAGTAATTAAGGAATAGGGAAAGAAAGAGGAAGCATGTAACTGGAGGAAAATAAACTGTTAGAATTTTTTAGTTTTTCCTGTTTTCTCAGCTCATAAGTGGTCTTTGGACTTAGCGTGTAAATTGAAAGCATAATCTGTGTATATGTCTTTGTCCAAATGCTTTAAGGATCACGATGTTTTTCTTGTAAAGATTTTTAAACACTTAATTTCTGCCATGAAACAATAGATGCAACTTATGTTACTCAACACAGGTATGATTGTTGGGTGTGGTTGTGTGCTTATTACTTAAGTGTTAGACGCGCCAATGATTACTATTTTGGATGTGGGAGGACCTGTTCTAGAATTAGACAAATTTTGAAAGATTTCAATTTTACATTATAAGTACGTATCCGCAAATTTCAGGCTGATGTGTTAGCTCTCTCTCTCTCTCTCTCTTTTTTTTTTTTTTTTTTTGGTTCATATGAGCCACTTAGGGCGGGGATGAGAATCGATCCCAGGATCACCTGGAACCGGGAGGAAAGCTCTTACCAATTGAGCTATCCCTCACTCTCATGTGTTAGCTCTCTCTTATTCAATTATTATGTCATGCCGACTTTTGAGCATACACTTCATTGTTTTCTCTTCACTTTATCTAATATAATAGTGTCGGGTAAGGATTCTTTACCCTTATAAGTTATAGTGGTGTTGAGTGTCTGATGCAAGTACTTTAGATAGATATATGAGTTGAAGTGACATGTAATGCAACCTATCAACATTTCGTGTAGACCAACTTAGCATCGTGGTCTCTCTATTCACCTGGTAACAATGTTCTTTTGCGTCAAACAAGTCAAATTGCAATTGGTGTATTGTAATTTATAGCCTTTCTTATCTGCCTGTGGCTTTATATTCAAAGAAGCATGCTTGGAAACTTCTAGTCCTACAAAGTATTTTATTAGGAGCATAAAGATGGCAATTGGTTTGCAGTCATCTCCGTTAACTTCCAAATGCAAAAATTCTGCACATAATTCAGTTACTCATGCTGTTGAAGGTTTATACATGGCATCCCTTGAGGATTATGTATTTACATCTTGTGGCATATGTATTTTTCGCCTATATTATAGACGGTGAATTAGTAATTACCATTAGAAAGTGAATTTCTAAATTGTTCCTGAAACCTAGCTTGCTCTGTCAGAGTGTATTGCTTTTTAGAAACAGGTGTAAGGGGGAGGGGGTGAATAATCCATTATTTGTCTAACTACATACCTTTGTATTGTTTCCTTACAGGTGGCCAACGCGGGGCTGTTCGTTACTCTATCATGTTTGCTATTGCTGGAACGGCGGTTGACTACACTACACTTAAACTGCAACCACTTGTGAAGAGCTACTATGATTCATTGCTTGGTAGCGACTTGAAATTGCCTGAGTGGTCTCCCATCCGGATACTTGATGAAGAAGAACTGGCTGCTAAACAAGCTCGTGAAGAACAACTACGTGCTCAAAGAGCCATTACTATGAAGGGCAAAGAATCTTAAATTGAATTTTTTACTTCTAATTTTTGATAGTCATATTATAAATTTCCAATTTGAAGGGCATTAATGAAGTCTTACCACTTCACTTCAGCCAAAAAAGGAAGTACAGGCTGTAAAGTTGAGTTCTTTTTTTGTTAGTGGTCTCCTGCAATTTTCCGCCTTTTATCTGGGTTAAAGATGTGATGGGTTGCATGTTCGATTGAGTAACGCCAGAACCTGGAATTAGGAGATCTAGAGTCACTGATATGCGCCTTTTTGCTCATTGTATGAATGGTCTTGCACTAAATTTGTAGCTTCAGCTTGTATCAGCCCGGAATTGACTTATAAAATTGGGTTTAGCCTGCCCTTATACCTCAGCAAAAGCTTTGAGCGTTCTCCTTTTTGAGTTTAGTAGTTACACAAGTATTTATAAAGGTAAACAATACCTTAAATTCCCTTAAATGATTTTTGGTTGAGCTGCTTTTGATTTCCCTCCTTCCTTCTCTTGAAGCTCCACAAAACCCACTAGCATAAATGATGAGGTCCATCGATAATGTAGTAGTGCATCACACAAAGACACAAAGTATATACTGCGTATCAAACATGTACATCGGTTTCAAAACTTTAGAACTCTTTATTTACCTGTTCACTTACCATGTGAAATTGTGAAATGCAAAACTTGTTTACTCTAAAAAATAAATAGATTGAATAATGAATATACAGCAATATGTGTTAAAATCTTAAAATTAATACATTGGTTCATTTATTAATGATCATTCCAAGTTAATTAACAAGTAGAGTACTACGTACAAGGATATATATAAGCTCACCATCAACTATAGAGAGTAAGTTCATGACGTACTAGCAAAGGTGCACTTACTATTTCCTATTTAACCGACTTGACCCATATATTCTTGCCGTTTGCGAAAATAATGTCAAAAATTCATACTCGTATTGCACTAAGCATTAGCATTACATAGTCACGTAATTTTTTTTTTGAACGAATACCAATAATTTACATATATCATCCGCTTTGTGGCTCTCAACAAAAAAAACATTATCATTGTTACCCTGTAAGGATATTTAGGATATTTCGCTGGATTAATTATTCCATATTAGTACACCTCACGAGCAGTTTTTTTTGAAACAATACGCAGTCACGCACCATACGGCTACACTCATCCTCCACCCAAAACTCAAGACCTGCAGATCAGCTAAAACGCCGTATCTCCACTTTCCCGCACCTCCTTCCAACAATCGAATAACAGAGTTACAGAGGTACAAACAATTGGCGAAGGAGGAGGAAGATACCAAAGTTTTCTTTCTCCTCAACTCTCTCATTCTCGCTGGTATTTGTTCCGCCATTAGAGGATGACGGAGGTGGCAAGCTCGGTAGTACACGAAGTGTTGGGAAGACGAGCCGAAGACATAGACCAACCTATTATTGATTACATCGTCAATGTCCTCGCCGACGAAGATTTCGATTTCGGCGCCGAAGGCGACGGCGTTTACGACGCACTCGGCGAGCTCCTTGTCGATTCTGGCGCCGTTACCGATTTCTCTGAGTGCCGCTCTGTAATTTTCTTTCTCTTTTATTCTATTGCTTTATTTGTTTGATTATTATGATGTTGATTATGACCTAATTTGAGAGTTTGTATTGATAGTAATTGATTAAGATGTTAGAGTATTGGAAATCGGAGGTGGATTGTTATTGGATTCTTGTGATTTTAAATTTTTGGGAATAAAGTTTTGATTTTTCATTAATGTGTGACCTAGGATTAGGGTTTATTGTTAGATTTATATGAATTCGGCTGAAGAGAATGTATGGACTACTCAAAATAAGCATAGTAAAGCATCTAGGAGAGGACAATGAATTTGTTGTTATGCAAAGGGATTTTTTTTTTGTTTTTTTTTAGTAAAGCCTAAGTAATTTGTTGTTACCATTCCTTGCCTTTTGAAAAACATTTGCATTCCAAGCTTTACTTCGCCATAGTGCCATGTCATACCATTCAAATCCTTTTGTTGGGGATGAGAGGGAAGGGCAGGTGAGGTGACCTTTTTTTTTTTTTTTTTTTTTATCAAACTTCCATAGGTGATAGGTTTACTTAACTTCTAGGCTGCTAGCTATTTCAGGTGAATGATATACATAATCCATTAAGGTTTAAAAGTGTTAATCTTACCAAATGCGGCCCATTTTTATAAGGTGTTACACTTTCATTTTTGGCAAACCTTTTGTATAACAAAGAAGCGCAAGGCGATAAAGGTAGAGTGCCTTTTTTGCTCCAGGTGAGGCACATTTAAAGAGGCTCACCAGAGGCGCACATAAGCAGTTTTCATTAACTTTTTTTATATTGTGTGCCTCACATCAAAGAGGCGAAGCGCATCCAGGCGTAGCAGGACTTCATCGCCTCATTGCGCCTTGAGCCTTTTTATACATTGGGCAAACCTCTACATATTTATATTATCTCCTCTCATGATCCCCACCCGAACCCGTTACTACTTTTTTTTTCCTCCTTTCACATTCCTTACTTTTCAATAAACTATTACCTCCACTATAAAAGTATTTGGTAAAGAGCTTATGGGGCATTATAGGCTTATTTGACCAATATTAGTTGATTGACTGCGAAATAAGTTAATTTGAATTGTTTGATGGAGAGTTGATTTAAAAAACTTATTTCACCTAATAAGCTCTTTTTCAATAGGTGAAATTACACTTATACTCCCATTTAGTCTAAAACCCGAATTCAACTACCTAACCCACAATTAGCTGCTTTAAGCAATCAATTATTTATCAAATTCTTTTATATAACCAGTTAAAACAATATGCTAGTCAAAATTAGCTAACATAATCAGCTTCAACTTTTAGCTTTTTACCAAACACGACCTATAGTTTTCATAATTTTGTAATACTCTAACTACCCCACTTACATCTTATTATGTCAAAGTCAATTTAATTCACCTAAAATTATATGCCTGTCAAATCGTAACATTTAAAAAAAATAGAGGGAGTATTGATATCTTGAATATGTTGTGTTATAATGAAACCTATTTGAATTTTTTTGTATTTTGGCAATCTTGACAGGTGTGTAGCATATTATGTGATAAATTTGGGAAACATGGATTAGTTAAGCCAAAGCCGACTGTAAGAAGTCTAGCAGCACCAGTAAGGATGTTTGATGGGATGGACGAAGATGTCGTGCCAAAAAAAAAGGTTGAGGAGGTAGATGGCCCTCTATTGACTGAGCGTGACAAAATGAAGATTGAGAGGAAGAAGAGGAAGGACGAACGTCAAAGAGAGGTAAATTTAATGTTTTCTTACAAGGTTGTTTGTCAAAAGTCTTAATTTGTTTTTTTTTTACTTGTGTGCATTGTGGATGTAGCCCAGAGGCATTTACTATATCCCGCTTAAACAACTTCAAGCTTATTTGTTTGGAACAGCAAATTGGATGCTTCCTGTACTAGTTATATATTTCTTGTTTGACTGGTTGTCAGGTTGCCTGGAGCGTATTTAATATGCCATTCTGAGTTGCTTGGTGGGGGTTAGCTAACCATCTAGGTGAAAATGAAAGCTTCACAATATATTCAGTATTATAACACTCCCTTTGTCCTCAAATATCTTCCTATTAAGTTTGAACACACTTATTTAGGATTAAGTTGGGTGAGGTGAGAGTGTGAGAGAAAGAGAGTTAGTGGATGGGTTTACTTCACATGATATGTGAAAATTTTTCCATCTTAAGTAGCATGAAGGTTTTTTGTGGGCATCCTAAAAAGGAATGCAGGCAGGTTATCTGTTGACAGAGAGAGAGATAATGGATCAAATCAAATAACATAACCTATTTCAACTTTTTGTTTGTAATGAACTAGGCATTTCAATTCTTTCCCAATCTAATATTCAATAGAAAGAGTAGGTTTGCCGTATGAAGGGGGATCATAATATGCAATGTGTTTCAACTTCCTTTGAACTCTATTTTGATTGAGGTAATGTGTACAATTCCCAGGTCTTAGTGTGTAGTTAGTTTTGCTTTCCTGATGCCTATTAGTTGTCTATGTCTATCTTGTATGCCCTTTACATTCATTTTCTTATTGTTCAAAATTAAACAGGTTCAATACCTGAAGCATGTGGAAGAAATGGAAGCTGTCAGAGCAGGAATGCCTGTTGTATGTGTAAATCACGGGCAAGACACTGGTGGACCTACTATCAGGGATATCCATTTAGATAGCTTTACTGTATCTGTTGGAGGCCGGGATCTCATTGTAGATGGTTCAGTGACTCTTTCTTTTGGGAGACACTATGGTATGTTTTCCACAATCCGATATTCTGTTGAGCACCTCCTCCTCAAGTCTCTTGCTCATTAGAAATAGCAATGAGCAATCTAATCTTTAAAAATTAAGCAGTGTATTTCCGGTGACTTAGTTAATGCTAGTGTTCTTCATTGGCAGGGCTTATTGGAAGAAATGGTACAGGAAAAACTACATTCCTCAGGCACCTGGCCTTGAAGGCCATTGATGGTATCCCAAAAAATTGCCAAATACTACATGTGGAGCAAGAAGTGGTGGGAGATGACACAACAGCCTTACAATGTGTACTCAATTCAGACATTGAACGAAACCAGCTTTTGCAAGAAGAAGCTCGCTTATTAGCACTGCAGGTGAAACTTTACTTCTAAAACTTTCATCACATGCCACGTGTTAGGTACATTACATTATGACAGTTATTTAAATATTAATTGCTCTCTATTTATCTTTTCTGTAGAGAGAACATGAACTTCAGGGCTCAGATGAAAAAAGCAATGGTGCATTGAATGGAGATATTGGTAAAGATAACATTACGGAGAGGCTGCAAGAAATATACAAAAGACTTGAACTCATAGATGCTGATTCTGCAGAGGCACGAGCTGCTTCAATCCTTGCGGTCAGTATGAGCATATATTGATATTGCTTTCGTTTGGCTGTGATCTTGGTTTAGCCAGATGGTTTTCTAAATATGTAGAATGTGCTTTACCGAACTTATTTTGGATTTTTTTTTTTTTTTTTTTTGTTTTTTTTTTGGGTAAAAGTAAGCTAAACATATTGCCAACAAGGGAAAGTTACATGAGAGTGGCATACCACTCATTACAAGCACGAAAATCATCTCATCACATCATAACCAAAAATAATCCAAACACACTGTACTAGTGTACTGAGTTACAAATTGGAAGAAACCATTCTCCACTTATCACTAAGTCTAGCTTGTACAGTTGTACAGGGTGTCTGATGTATGTAGTCATACCCTTGCAATAACACAGTGGACTGCCTGATTGAAACTATGACTGAATAAATATCAATTTCATGACGATGGCTTCATGAGCTTTACACATTAAAGCAGAAATGAATTACCATGAAATAGCTTGGGGAGATCTGGGATGTCCTTGAGTCTTCGTGATCCTTAAGTTGTCTTTTTGGAACAGGTTACTTGCTATTCAGTGTTGATGCCTATACTAAATACTGATAGTTTGTTGGCAATTGGAATATTTCCAGGGTCTCAGTTTCTCACCGGAGATGCAGCATAAGGCCACAAGAACCTTTTCTGGAGGATGGAGAATGCGTATAGCTCTTGCACGTGCGTTGTTTATAGAGCCTGATCTATTACTTCTTGATGAACCGACAGTAAGTATTATGCTCATTTGAACTCTTATTTTTTGATGGTATTGATGTAATGGTTTCCCCTGAATTTTATGTGCAGAACCACCTTGATCTGCATGCTGTGCTATGGCTGGAGTCTTACTTATTGAAATGGCCCAAAACATTTATAGTTGTGTCTCATGCCAGAGAATTTTTGAATTCGGTAGAGTTTTAATTTGAAGCTGTTTGTTGGCAAGGATTTTTGACTAGTAATACCATATTCCGAACTTTGTCGAGTGGAGTTATTAAAAATATCATTTCAATATATCCTTTCAGGTTGTCACTGATATTATTTATCTACATGGGCAAAAATTGACTACATTCAAAGGAGATTATGACACATTTGAGAGGACAAGAGAGGAACAACTGAAGGTTCAACAGAGAGCAGTTGAGGCTAATGAAAAATCCAGGTCGCATATGCAGGTCTGTGGTCGAAAGTTGCTGCAATCGATTTAATTGTTGTAGCTTGTTTATACCATGTCAATGATTGCTTTCAGCACCCATACATCCACCATTACACATACAAGTAGTATTTTTCTTAAATTTATTTATTGTGGTCTAGTCTATATTATTCCCTTCAAGGTCTCTTAGCTTTTCATTGTGTATTTTCTGGCCTGCTCTCTATATTTATGTGTGCTAAGCTTTATTCTTCATTTCTTCCTATGTTGCAGGCTTTTATTGACAAATTCCGTTACAATGCGAAGCGTGCATCTCTTGTTCAATCTAGAATCAAGGTGCTAATTGATATTCTTCTAACTTTGTTGATTAAGGTTTTTGGTTTATGATGTCTTTGCTATTTGTTGGATGATCTAAGATTCTCCCATTTTGGAACTTAATGTTCAAGTGAATAGCTCTTACATTTTGATTTAGTGCTTGTTTAACTAACTTTTCAATAAGAAAATATTTCATGTTATGTTATAAATCTGCACTGTTGGTTTCTTTTTCCAGATGATTAGTATTTTAAATTTGTCATGTTAATTTTTTTTTTTTTTTTTTTTACTGAATGCTTCTCTTTTTATTAATTTTTATCTCAACAGGCACTGGACCGCTTGGGTGTTGTTGATGCAATTGTTAATGATCCTGAGTATGCATTGCCATCTTCATAGCTTGCTTCTTTAACATTTGACGTGTCTTTGGCTTTCGATTTGACACTGTGATTTCTTCAAGTTAATATTCAGTTTTCTACCTTGGCAGTTACAAGTTTGAATTTCCAACACCAGATGACCGACCAGGTCCTCCTATCATAAGTTTCAGGTATGTTTATAATTCTGATTTTCATTCTTTGCTTTTGATTTTGAATTTACGCACAGGTATAATTGTGTTTATTATAGATAAACCTTAATCTCCTTATAGACTAAAGCTAATTATTTTAATTTCTTGGAAGCTTTGTGGAATCTGGCTCTTTATGCTTGATTTTGTTATGTCCAAATTCATCTTTGCAAATAACTGATTCTGGTTATGAAGCCAGGATTTATTCTGAAGTTGTTTATGTTTGAATGTTGTTTTAGTGATGCATCTTTTGCCTATCCTGGCGGACCGACATTGTTCAAGAATTTGAATTTTGGGATTGATTTGGACAGTCGTATTGCTAGTAAGTTTTTCATCTTAGTTCTCCATGCTTTTTGTCTGCTTGTAGTTGCTTATGGATTCCCCTCAGCGATTTTGGTTCTTCTATCTTTCTTTTGTTTTTGACTTGATTGTCTTAATGCAGTATGAGTGAACAACTGCATTTATTTGGAAATTCTGTTACTTTACATGTAAAAGGCAATAACATCTGCTATGTTGCTTTTGGGTCTATGTTGAATGATCTCTTCTACTTTTTTTTCCTTTTTTTTTTTTTGAGGAAGTTTGAATGATCTGTTTGTTAATAAATCTTTGAAGTTTGCTGTCTCTACATGCTTGCCATCTTGTGTGATTGTTTTGGTTAAGCTCCCAACCATTACCAGTGGACATGATTCATGAATTAGTCTCTCTTTATCTTACAGAATGTTTGCTAAGGAACATGATTTAGCTTAGGCAAGGAATTTAGCTGTATGCCTATATTCATAAGTGATGATATCTGTATTTAGATAAGGCATTTCGTTTCCCATTAGAATGATTTTGGTTTGATTTGGACCGAGCATCTTGTCAATTTTTTAGGTGACAAGTCTTGATTATTGGATGCTTTTGATCTAAAATTTAATACTATTCTGCAGTGGTTGGTCCTAATGGTATCGGCAAGTCCACAATACTCAACTTGATTGCTGGGGAACTGCAACCAAGCTCAGGAACTGTATTCCGCTCAGCCAAGGTATACAGTATGTACATTGGGACACATTTTATCAAGCCATTATCCTTGTAGGCTTGTAGCATTAAACTTTTTATTGCTGCCTGGAATAATATGGTTACTGTAATTAGCCTTGGTATTGTAAATATATGTATATATATATATATTTTTTTTTATTATTATTTTTTTTTATTTTTTATTTTATTTTATTTTTTTGCAATTGTTAATGCTATAAGTTGACATTTTTTTTCAGAGCTTTAAAAAATTAGAAGCCTTCTTGTCTCAGGATTGTAATGTCGTCATTTGTGATGTATTGCAGTTAATTTCTTTTCTACTTTTTATCTCTTTCCTCATTGAGTGGTGCTGTGTGGTCTTTTATTTTTTCTACTGAAACTTCACAAGCATTAATGTCAGGGCAATACTTGTTTTCATACGCCACCTTTCAATCCTATAGCTGGAGTTAAATTGTTTTCCTGAGCTACTTTATATGTGAATGCTAACGTTGATGTATCTTTCTGTGAATTATTTGATAGTCTTAGTCAGTTACTTGCTGATTGTTTTTCTTCCCAGCCTTGTCATTTGTTCAACTGCCTGTTTTTGATGCTTGCTTGGTTCACATGTCATTTTGGTTGGGATTTATTTATTTATTTATTTATTTATTTATTTTTTTATTTTTTTTTTTGGGAATAGTAGTTGGCTTCTTTAACTTAGACCAGACTTCATGCTGTTATGGAACTGAAAGGAGCTTATGGCTTTATAAACAATTAAGTTCATGAAGAAAATCTTGAAGGCATGTTTTCTCATGTTTGTTTCAACTGAAGTCAACTACTAATCTTCTATTCTATATATGCAGGTCCGTATTGCTGTATTTAGTCAGCACCATGTTGATGGATTGGACTTGTCCTCAAATCCTCTTCTATATTTGATGCGCTGCTTCCCGGTAGGTTTTTTGAGAATGTTGTTTTTATTGTCTGTTACATGAAATAATTCCTTAGAATTAAATAACGCCATTGCATTATGTAAAGACTGCTCCATTATGCAGGGCCGTTTTACACAGGAGTTTACTTGCCATCCCTTGAAACATGTCACTTGTGGCAATAAATTCAGAGTTTGATGTTGGTTATTATTGGCTATTTTCTTACTTCTTTAGCTGTTGCAATAAAGCTGTTATTCATATTGATAATATTGATTTCTACATGTCTAGATAATTGTTATTCATTTTGTGGTCACTATGAATGTTTTACCCTCAGTTCTTAACAAATTAAGGTGCTCAAAAATACATCTATAAAAATTATCAAAACCATGATTAAGTAAAAAAACCAATTTACCAGATTATGCTACAACAGCTGTAACATACAGTGTAAAGGCTGTGAGAAGCCACTTATGCAACTATGCCACTGGTTCTTCCTCTGTTTGTTTACTTGCAATGTGACTCTTACATTATTTACATATTGAACCTTGATTGTTTTTTTGGTAATTTATACTTGAGCAAAAATGTGGTCATGTGGGATCTTATGATTAGGGATGTGGGATCTTGTTAGACTCGTCTTATTATTTTTTTAAAATATTAACTTTTTGTAGCATTGACAAGTGTGATATTCAAGACGTTGCAAATTAAAAAAATTTGAAGTGTATGGAACCATGGAAAATTGGACATCATCCGGTTTAGGAACAAAGTAGTCCAGCCAAAAGCTTTGCATAAGCGATTAGGAATAAAGTAGACTAGCCAAAAGCTTCACATAAGCTATTAAATTCCTTTAAAGCGAAAGCCTTCAGATACAATACTGAGTGAGCTCAAGAAGTCTCAGTTTCAGGAAAATGTAGCGAAGATGTCCCAGCAGAATCTGTTGAGGCAGTACAGGTAAAGAGAATGTGAACTTGTAATAGTAGTAGCTGGTGTCTTTGCATTCTTGGCTTAAGCAGGAGAAGAAGGATTGGCCTCTCTCTAGTTGAGTACTTTCGTTAAGTTTTGTTGAAGAATCTGATGTGGCAGTTGCAGCTTCCATCAGAATCCCTCGGCCTAGGATGTTATGCTATCTATGTTTCCCACTATCCGGTGAGAAAGAACCTATTTTAAGGTGTCCACAGTTTCAGACTTTCAGTAGGACCCCAGGCAGCATTTTTTGGCATTAAACTGTAGTTACTTTCCGATGCAGTTACCTACTTAATCACTATTAAGTAGCATTTATTAAATAATTTGGCATAGAGAAATATGTGCAAAATTGGTGAACATGTTGAGGAGGGAAATTATGACGCAAAACTTTCTTTAGTGACTTTCATTGTATACTCGAAAGATTTGACCGGACTATTCTGAAAACTTTATATATGTTAATATTTCAGGGTGTTCCTGAACAGAAGTTGAGAGGTCATTTGGGTTCATTTGGTATAACTGGAAATCTTGCACTCCAGCCTATGTACACCTTATCTGGTATGTTCCTTTTCAGCATATTGGTATGCTGGTCATCGTGGAAACTCTCTCTTAGCTTGCAGGATGGATGCAGAAAACTATATCCAATTCTGATTCATATTTTTTACATAATCTTGTCTGCTTCTCGGTGATCCTGCAATTTATGGTTGTTGAAGTTTTGGGACTCCATTAATGGATAGAGTGGTTTTTTGCAACAGGTGGTCAAAAAAGCAGAGTAGCTTTTGCAAAGATTACTTTCAAGAAGCCACATTTATTATTGCTGGACGAGCCATCAAATCATCTTGTAAGTATTTTCATCGCTGTGATTATTGGTTACTCCGTGTAAAAGAGTGTTGAACCATGGGCGAGGCAGCAGTGCCCTCAAAATCTTGAATGTATCAGGTGGATGAATTATTGAATCAACAAACTCTTATGAATTGAAAAGTCGGGTTCATTGCATAGTCCATTTTTGTGAGTACTTTGTGTCAAAAATAATGAAAAAAATGTGGGCTTGACATTTTCTCTTTTCCAGTTTGTGAATGACATGTCACAAAAATATGAAAATAATGTGGATTGACTTATTTGTTCATATTGTGGGGAACTAAAGGTTAACAGTTAGTAAATGTATTTAGCTATATATCAGATGGATTTGTTTCTGTTATTTCCCAATTATGTTCTGTCATCATACATTTGTTCATAGTAGAACATTGCCAACCTTTAACAATTGAAGTCGCCAAGTTATGTGAAGAATCCCTCAATCTGGTTTGTGGGTTTATTGTTCTATGTAGGAGACGTTTCAATTGAAATTTTTCAGACATAATTTGATTATGGTACTTTAAATTAACTGCAGGATTTGGATGCCGTAGAAGCTCTTATCCAGGGTCTTGTTATGTTTCAAGGAGGAATACTAATGGTATTATTTTCTTTCATTTGGCTGTAGCCTGTAGCTACTATTTATTGTTACTTTTTTTGGCTCTTATACCCCAATTGATGGTAATTGGTAATGGTAATGAGTTAAGTCCAACAATGTCCACGAATACGATAAGCCGATAATGCTTCCCCACCTCTAAGTATGTGTTATGTGTTTATTGCACTATCATGGACATTGTAGTGAAACTTTCCTAACTCATTACCATTGCCTTCGAATGTTACTTATAACCTGTACCAAACCAACCATTGGAGCACAAACACAATCCTTAACTGGACAAGTGATGTCTATGTCTATGCAGGTTAGTCACGATGAACACTTAATTTCCAACAGTGTTGATGAGCTGTGGGCAGTGTCTGATGGGATCGTGACACCTTTCCGTGGGACATTTCAAGATTATAAGAAGTTACTGCACTCATCTTGAGTTGAGTCAGTTTTCAAAACATGAGTTCTAAAGTTTTTATGTAGCGAACACAGAATATGTTTTTATGTGGTGGGCATAGAATATCACTAATGTGAAATGGCAGAAGTGTTCGAAACAATAGCAAACATGCTGCTGTATGTTGCCGCTAATTAAGTGTTGGAGTGTATTATTGTGTTATTCTTACGAACAAATACTATACAGCAATCACTAATTGAATATATTCATATGCAACATGCAAAAAAGCTGAAAAATACGAAGTAACTAATATCAAATAGCTATATGGTTTTGTTACTCTCATGAATTATTTAGGCTCCATTTTGATGGATTGAAAATTACAGAATTGAACTAAAACAAAATGACCTGAACTCTAAATACTATTATTATTATTAACGAATAATAATAGTAATAATAGCCCCATGGTGATATTTGATATTGTGTTTCTTCATGGTCATTTGGTTAGGCAAAGGAGATTGGAAGTTAAACAAAATTTGTAATAAGTTCACTTGCCTAGAGAAGGTTATTAAACAAACTATTTACGATCCATGAGAGTAAAAAAAACTAAAAACAACGAATTAATGAATTAACATTAGGTCCAAAACACTTGACTGTCATCATTTTTACCTTCAAGTGATGTTACAAATAAATAAAGTGATAAGACTGATAACACTTGAGGTCTCTCCAACGTTATAAATAAATAAAGAGATTTGTTATTGGCGTTATTTAAGTAATGGGTCTTTCATGTCATGTTAGGTCTAAAAAAAAACATATTCAGCATAAAATACATATTTTAACTAAGCTTGAAACAAATAGAATGACTCTAGATAGCAGTCGGTTAAACTACTACTTAATGGGTTGTATAAGCTGCAATCCATCGGAGTATAGCCCGTATGATCCACACAATAGTAGAGCTCCACGAGCAAAATATTCATACCATGAAACATTCTGCATTTCACAAATGATCTTGGAAATTGTAACTCTTCATGGATGGTCATAAGCTCCTTAACCGGTAAAAATGATGGTAGTCGACAGGAGGGAGCACTAGCATGAAAAAATTAAAACATCATTAGTATTTGAAATATGAAGATTATTATATGTATTTGTGAGATTAAAGAATGATTAGATACTTACTTTTCAATATATAATCAGCATTAACAGCATGATAAAGGGCTTGAAAACATAGATTGATATTACAATATCTGACTTCGTAAATCAATACTAGTAGATGATTTCATGGAGGTCGGTTTGCATTTGTTTCGAGGATAACATTGTTTATTGAAGAATTTGAAAAATTGGAAACACTTGCGTAGGGTTGGATTTATGTTCAAGGTAATGGGGTCAATTGAACCCACTTATTTTGTTAAAAAATTGTTATTACAAATATTTTTAAGATGAAGAAATGAGATCGATTCTAATTTGAACTCTAACAAGTATGAGAATATTTTGTTGGTGGATTATTTTGAATTATGAAGAGAAATAGTAGCCATTCGTTTGAACAGAATATTCTACCAAGGTTTTGATTTTATATCATTATAATCATTAGTACAACCAAGATATTACACATGAAGGGAATTGTTTTTTTTGTGTGTGATTGGGTTATTAGTTTATTTTTTAAGTGTGTAATTGAGTTGTTGGTTCATTTATTGTGTGTGTAATTGGGTTATTAGTTCACTCTTTGTATGTGGAATAGGATTGTTATTTCATTTATTGGTGTGTAATTGGGAGATTAGATTGTTAATTCATTTTTTGAGTTCATTTTTTGTGTGGATAATTGGGATGTTAGATTGTTAATTCATTTTTTGAGTGTGTAATGGGAAGTTAGATTGTTAGTTCATCTTTAAAGTGTGCTTGAGTGGTTAGTTCATCTTTTGAGTGTGTAATTGGGTTGATAGTACAATTTTCAAATGTGTAATTTAGTTGTTATTTCATTTTTTAAATCTCGATCGGTGATTCAGACTTAACAGTTATGGTTAGTATTTGTTGAGTTTCGCGTAGAAATTAAGTTAATGGTAGAAAGACTAAAAACTTGAGGGAAAGTTCCATTTATAATTTATTTTTTTAATAAAAAAAAAAACCTTTACGTTTTTGTTTTAATTTTGCAAAAAATTAACCGTATAAGAAATCACTACAATTCATATTCAAATACAACTTGAGATCAATTTTGTAGTTGTGCAACACTTCTTAATTAGTGTATATTTATTATTTTATAAAGCTATTATTTTTCACTTTTACTATTTACTAAACAATTTTTATCTTTAGTCTTATTTCTTATAAGACAGAGTTGTTAGGGTTGTGAATAAAGTTGGAGATTTAATCAAATAGAAGAGAAATGTACACATTACTTATGTGTTTATTTGTTGATACTATATTAGACCACTGACTTCCTACAAAATATATTAGACCCCCTCTCGTCAAAAAATATTTATATGTATATATTAGACTCCTATAGTAAAAGCCAAAAGAACAAGTAACAAATAATATGGAATAGTGAAAACTGTTATTTGGTATATACATGCACAAATGCACAATATAATATTAAAAATTTAACTTTTAATTTTCTCTATGTATTGTTGCATTTTTTTTTAATTTTTTTTTTTACCATGTCCATAAGCCTAAGTGGCTTTTTTTAATTGTTCACCTAATCCGATAAAAGAGAGTAACTACACAGTAGCGAATGTGGCAATGTCACAATGTCACCATATAGCAGTATAACATGGTTTAATATCCAATAGTATTAAAAAATTTTAATACTACGTATTGTTTCACTTTTTATTTTTCCCATAACTTATAGGAGGACTTTGTAATAAACTCACATATTTGTACTATCTTTCCTCTTCATAAACGACTTGATCAGCCAGTTTCGAAATATTTACTACATTTTTCATTTCTAAGTGTTTCTACATTCTAGTATTACAACACGTCATAAATATAAATTGGCAACTTAGGTTATTTCTCTTCGGTTCTTCCCGACTTGACAAATCATTCAAAAAGCTAAATTGTTACTCCATATTTTTTATTGTTTTTTTTCCTGTGAACCTAAAATTGTTTGAAATCATCCTTTTTTTTTTTTTTTTTTTAAGCTGAAATCATCATAAATTAGATAGACTTAATTCTTTTTCTCACTAGTTGATCGAATAAAAACTATAATGGAGATTGATCTTCTTTAATTTTTAATTGGTTGTCTTACTTCCTCATTTTTAGCTATTTGTTTTGTCAATTGTCAACACCCTAAAGCAAAATACTTTTTTTTTTCCCAAAAACTAATCACAAGTTCACAACTTCAGCCAAAAAAAATTAGATATGCTAATCTAGGATTTTACACTAATGACTAATATCAAAATTCATCACATCAACTACTCATCGTGAAAGTAGAGAGGTGCTTGGGATGCCTCTAACTTGCACCTTAGCAGCCTTGCTCGAACTTTGCCGATATGGAAGCTTGCTTCTTGGCTATAAATGTTTAAAGGTCTGAATATGGTGGGAAATTTTTTGTCAACATTTGAATTTCTTTTTTATGCAAAGGTGTGGCTTGCACACGCATATTTAGTTATTTATAACATAAAATTGTAGGAAAGCAGGAGTCAACTAACTATCGAAATCTTGACTTTTATTCTATCGAAATCTTTAAACCACCAAAATATGGGATTAGTTAGAATAACAGAATATATTATCATATATTCTATCATTGGTAAATCAAATTTTTCTTACGAATTGAAGTATTTCAATTTTTTTCCTTATAAACCTAGTTCTTTTCACGTTGGTAACAGCACAAACCACATAACCATTATAAACTTTTTTTTGACAAAATATTTATAAACTTTATTATTTATAAACTTTATTGTAAAACATTAAAAAAAAAAAAATTAAAAAAAAAATTAAAAAAAAAAAACCTTAAAATTGATATATTAGTTGCACCTTTGGGATATTTTATATCTTACAAATAATACCCCAAAGTTCCATCTACTAATATATAACGGAGGTAGTAAGTACAGAAAATATTTTATTTAGTTTATATGTAATTCGTTTTCAGTATATAAATGGTTTGGTTTTTTATTTTTTTAAGGGCTCTGCTCTAAACTGTTACGGTGTTTGAGCTTAATTTGACATTTGATTGGCCTATAAGCAACGATATTTTTACAATTACTTAGCCCCACAACAAAGGCATAACCTTTGTTCCTTTTATCAAGCATCAGGTTCCAAAACAAAGGCACAACCTTTGTTCCTACATTACAAAAAAAACCCTTAATTTACTTGTCTTCTGATGTGGAATAATAATGAAAAATCTTACCTCTTATAGAACTTTCGATCTTTAGTAGTTTAATTGTTATTTTAGATTTTGCTTATAAGTTTTTTTTTTACATTTCACTTGAAAGTTTTTTTTTTGTTTTAAGCAATTAGAATTTATTCCCTTATTTTAATCTTTTTATTTATTTTGATTAGTTTTTTAGTGTAGGGGATATAAGTTTAGTAAATTTTACCTTTTTAATATTCTATCTTTATTAGGAGTGTGTTTAGGAATTTGGATAGTTAATTTATCTAGGACTTCTAATGTACTTAGGAATCTTAGTACTTATATGTAGCCTATATAATGGCATTTATGCTCTTAATATAAGCTTATACTTGTATATTTTTGACCTTGTTAAGGTTTAAAGCTCGTGTTGCTTAGGAAACCGAGCGGCCAAAATTATATTATACCAAGCCCCATTTATCAAGCATCAGGTTCCACAACAAAGGCACAACCTTTGTTCCTACATTAAAAAAAAACCCTTAATTTAGTTAGGGAATCCAACTTTTTGCCATAAATTTACTTCACTTCATCATCATCTCCTCAACTCAAATTTGATTTTATAGGCCATTATTTTTCAAAGTGTTTTCTTGGGGGAGTTTTAATCAATTGTTTTGTTGACTTTTAATTTTCTATCCCCACTTTGTTTGACTTGCTTTATAGTCTTCGGTCTGAAAAATGCCATCTTTAATTTCAATTAGTTTTAAACCATCCAATCAATTTTTCAATCTCCCCAAAATCCCAATTTTCCTCTCAAAATGACTAAAATTTGTGTTAAAAATTGCAATTTTACAATCATATTTTCATTATTTCTCTTAATTTTGCCAATCATGTCACACCCACAAACAAAAAAGTGTAGTGTTCTTGATGCAGGGCCAGTAACTTCAACAATTTCTCTCATTTCATTCCTAGAACAAGTTCAAGAAACTGCCCTCAATACATTTGGACCCAACAATTTTGATCCTAAGCTCTATATTGATTTCTCATTGAAATCTAATCTTTCTATCACTCAACAAGCCTTTGCTAAACTATCAAGAGCACAAAACGGTGCCGTTTCGGCCGATGAATTGCGAAAATTCATACAAGATTACTTTAATGGTGCAGGGGATGATTTGATTTATGTTAAACCAGCTGATTTTGTGGCTGAGCCAAATGGGTTTTTACCAAAAGTGAAGAATTCTGAGGTTAGAGCTTGGGCTTTGCAAGTTCATGCTTTATGGAAGAATTTGAGTAGAGAGGCGTCACCTGATGTTAAAAAGCACCCTGAATTGCATACTTTGCTTCCTATTCCTGAACCTTGTGTTATTCCTGGTTCAAGGTTTAGGGAGGTTTACTACTGGGATTCCTATTGGGTTATCAGGTTTGATTCTCGATATGATACTCCCTCCGTTTCCAAATAATGACAACCATTATTTCGAAATAATGGTATAAAGTTTAACCATTATTTTGAAATGTAGAGAATGTTTAATTAATTATTATTATTATTGTGGATTGCATATTTGTTGGCTTTTGGTTGGTTTAGTTGTTCTTGGACATGTTGTGTGGTTTGATGTTGATGTTTACTGACCAATATGCGCAATTTTTTCTGATTTCTTTAGTTTGGTGTTGAAAGTAATAAATGCTTTTATATTTTCTCGTATAAGTTTATATTGAAAGAATTGTACTACATGCTAATTTTCAAGTTTTAAAAAACAGCTAGAAGGTTGACTACATTAGTCTTTGATTTAACTTAGTTTTCACCAATTTGAAAAGCTATTGTTGATGCTGAAACATTGAACAACTGATTTATTATTATAATTATATATATGTAGATTAGATCATGGACACTTGTTTGAAGTCATATAGCTTTGAATATTAAGCATGATTTCGTCATCTTGAAAATGATCATGTCATTTCTGTTTTTGTTTGATACAAGGATAATTAAAGATAGCGTACCATGGTTAAACTACCTATAATAAATTCAAAAAATAATATTATGTATAAAAAAGGTTGTGCAGTCTGTCTGTAGTTATGCTATATTTTGTTCAGCTACAACTGGGCTGATCTGATTCTAATTGTTTGAATCTTGCACCTGGATTACTGAATTGGCAGAAGTTAATTTGTGGTAGAATTACCAGAATATTGAATGTTATGTTTGGATGTAGTAGACCTTATATCTCTCATTCTCCATATCGTTGAAGGGTAGAGTTATCAGGACTTAAATTATATGTGCCCCCGATCTCTCCTTTTTCTTTTTTTACTAACCTGCTCGAGGTCCTTAAGTTCTCGATTCTAATCAGAAAAATTAGAGAATTATACTGTAAAAGAGTCTGCATGACATTTTGACATGTTAGTTTACAATAATGATTTGCTGTTGGCAAAACTTCTTATGGAATTCATATCTTCATTGCACAGGGGTTTGCTTGCTAGTCACATGCACAAGACTGCAACTGCTATTGTGACTAACCTCATATATTTTGTTGAGAAGTATGGCTATGTGCTTAATGGTGCTAGAGCATATTACACAAATCGAAGGTGACTGTGACTTATTTATGTATTATATATTTGATTAAATCATTATGGCATCTGACATGAGTGAATCACGATTACGAGGTTGTATTAATGCGGCTGTGAGTGATATTGTCTTTCTCTATGGTCGTTTAGTTATGTATAGGAACTAGGAATTCTCACTTGACATAATTTCCAAGAATTGTATTGGAGTTTCACTTCCACGGAAGTGTAAAAGATTAAGTTGTTGACTGGATATAGTTTAAGGTTTAGAAGTAACAAATTTTGAAAGAAGTTTCACTTGCCTAGAGGAGATTATTAAGCAACTATAAGCTTTTAATGAGAAGTGGAGCATCTGATGAAGTCGTCCTTCCACATCATTAGGAAGCAGTTACACAAGCCTACGATGGAACAAAACTCAAGCCTTCATGCTTATATTGACATTTGTTGTTGCTCATTGTAATTTCTCCTAATAGATTTCCCTCCGTATGGCATCATGAATATTTTTTAACACACTCGTTGAAATTCAGGCTTCATTGGACTATACTTTAATATCTTATAACACACTCATTGAAATTCAACCGAATTTGTCCTGGCTAACTTTTGCAAATGATATGAATTGGAATGTTACAAATAGTGTGAATGATTAGGTGAATATGCATTTGCTAAAGAAATTGGATATTGTAATCAGATAAACCAAAATGATATTGAGGACAGTTTTGTGGGATGGAGGGAATATGATTCTAGATCTTTAGTGACAGTTTATGATAGTTTAGGGAAGGTGAGATGGGTGCAGAGATTCTTCTGGTTAGACTCTTAATAGTTGCACTTCAATCTTTGGAAGCCAAATATATAATTCAAGCTATGCAGGCAGCTGCTAATTAAACTGTGAAGCATCTAAAGTTGGTTTTTTCTACAGTCAACCTCCTCTATTGAGTTCAATGATACATGAGATCTACCAAAGAACTGGTGACAAAAACTTGATTAAGAAGGCTCTTCCTGCTCTACTCAAAGAACACGAATTTTGGAATTCAGGTGCCATTTTCTGCACTTTTCTTTGCCTTTTATCCTCAGCACTTCCGATCACTTCATGTATACTGAAGTTACTGTTATATCATTCAATCAAATTGTTTCGATAGGAATACATAAGGTTACAATTCATGATTCTAAAGGTGGCAGTCACAATTTGAGTAGATATTATGCCATGTGGAATAAACCAAGGCCAGAATCTTCGACTACGGTATGTTCATTTTTCACTTTACAACCATGAGTAAGAGCTGCAGTGCCGCACATAGCAAACATACATATTACTCTGTTGCTTTTGCAGGACAAGGAAACTGCTTCAACACTGTCTGATGCAGCTGACAAACAAAAGCTTTATCGTGAGGTGGCTTCAACTGCTGAATCTGGATGGGATTTTAGTACAAGGTGGATGAGGTAAAATTACCTTTCTTGGGTTCAAGTTTAAGTACAGTGATATTCAGTTTTCGATGTTGTATATGGCATGGTTATCTCTCTTAATTATCTGCTTGATCCTCCAGCTTCTCGTGGATTTTCAAGGCTCAAAATATCAAATGGATAACTTTATCTACCTTTTAGATGTTGTATGAGTAATGGATCCTGAATTTCTTGTTCCTTGTACCTCCAGAGTTTGTATAAGATAGAATAATGGCTGATAAGCGGCATTTAATAGGAAATCACACTTGTTCAAGTATATTTAAGTTCTGAGATAGAGCATTCTCTATTCCAATGTGTATGAGCATGTGGGAGGCATGGCAAGCTTAGCTATGACCTATGTTCTTGCTAGTATTCTCTTATTCTGAAGTGTATATCTCTAATGGGACTTGCTTTGGTCTGTGATATTGGAAAGTATCAAAGCATATTTCGCTTTCTGGAGTTCATGTTCTAATTTGATTTACAAGTACATTTTTTTTTGTCATGTGGGTGCATGGGATGAAGAAAATTAGTTTTTTTTTGCAGGAATTCTTCTGATCTAACAACACTGACCACAACCACAATACTGCCTGTAGATTTGAATGCATACGTACTCAAGGTATGATATAAATTCATAGCTTGAGATCAATTTGGTGGTTCATCTCATGTAATGAAAATTTTACTTTTTTGTTTGCCTCAGATGGAGCTTGATATAGCATACTTTGCAAAAGTCGCTGGAGAAAACAACATAGCTGCGCAATTTCTCAAAGCTTCTCAATCAAGAGAGAAAGCGTTCAACTCTATCTTCTGGAATGAAAAGATGAGCCAATGGCTCGACTGCTGGATCACTTGCAAGGTGACACATCCTTGTAAATCAAAGTTTCATCCTCTAGTTACAATTAATATCAGTCTTGTAACTCGTTAACTTTTTGTTACACCTACAGGATGATCAAACATGGGAAGCTTCTCACCAGAATCAGCATTTATTTGCTTCAAACTTTGTTCCCTTATGGATCAAGCCGTTTGATTCAGGTATTTAATTTTGCTCCATGTTACTTGTATGACTTTTGCTTGTTCTGGCCACTTTACTTGGGCGATTTTTCTCTGCTATAAGCATAAAAGACTTGAAAATTAGTTGTTTACATAAGCCAAACTCTGCTAAGTGATGCACCATGCATTTTTTATATGCCTTACGGAAATAAGATCACCTAAGAAAATAATGTGTTGCTGCTGTGTATTGTCGTTATTACTATTCAAAACATCTGATACTGTGTACTGGTCAGACTATATTTTTATTGATGTATCCTTTGGGTTTCAAAAAAAAAAAATAATGATATATCTTTTGGTTTAATCAAGGTGTTATTGAATGTCTTTGAAAAAGAGGATACGAGCTGCAATATCTAATCATGGAATTAGATCTTTAATCATGGAATTAGATCTTTTCAGTCAACTTGTAGTAGGGTTATATTTTATGAAAGAATTACAATTTCAATAGTATAATTTAAATGACATCTGTATTTTCAAGCTTTCTTGGCAGAGAAGGTTATGAAAAGTCTTGCAAGTTCAGGCCTGGTTCGTCCTTATGGAATTGCTACTTCTTTGACGAATTCTGGACAGCAATGGTTATTTGTCTCTCACCCTCCTTCATACTCTCATTTCTATGGAAACTTTTGCTTATTTAAGAGTTATACTGATGTGATAGAGATTGCATAACCAGGGATTATCCTAATGGCTGGGCCCCTATGCAACACATCATTATTGAAGCTCTTGCGAAGTCTGGTTCCAAGGAAGCCTATTTGATGGCAGAAGATATAGCAATCAGGTGGATTAGGACCAACTATGCAAGCTACAAGACAACTGGAGAAATGCATGAAAAATACAATGTAGATAAGTGCGGGGACATTGGAGGCGGTGGTGAATACATAGCACAGGTATATGTTTACATAAGAATCAGTAACTCATTAATAATATCAAATAAAGACAACATTGGGCAACAACAACATACTAGTAAACTCTTTGGTGAAAATATATGTAAATTAGTATTGTCAATTTTAATCCAACTGAGATTATAATCTTTGCTGAATTTTTTTTATACTTTTGGGGATGGAAAAAAGAGCTGATAGTAGATAACTTATTGGTTTCACACTGATATATATTATGAATTTACCTGCAGACTGGGTTTGGCTGGACAAATGGAGTTGTATTGGCTTTATTAGAAGAATTTGGATGGCCCCAAGATAGAAAACTTGATTGTTAACTGGGAGCTGAAGAACTTAGATCGCTTCTGCTTTATCAGCATTTCAAGACGATGGCACCACGGATTTATGAAATTATTTAGTAATTGAAATAAAGCTTTTAATTTTCTTTATCAGGTAAAGATTAAGCTTCCTAATATATTGATTGGATAATTGACCCACTTGTTTTCCATCATTCAGGTCTTCCAAATATTAATGATTGTATGTTCAACTGATTGTTAAACACCCATGGCAGCATTGTGTATGTGTCTAATTGGAGGCAAGCTGCTGCATAAAATAAGATAATTACTGATTTGCGTGAATGTTCCTTTTCATTGTCTTCATTATAACTGCTGAGCTACTCTAGTCTAATAGTAGTTTATCTGATGCTGAGTCAGTTTTCTTCTTTGCTGTTTCTTATTTTGTGTGACTGTTTGAGCTCACGTTAGCATGAACTAACGTCTGCTGTGGATATCAGACGAGCAACAATGAACTTAAGTCTGTTTTCTAATACTAATATCCAATAGAACCTTTTAGCTTCTGTTGGTCATTGATATGATATATTTTTCAGTGTATTCAGTGGCTTTTTTTTTTCTTTTTAAACGAACTACACCATGCCAGATTGCAAGGCTTCCTATCTTTTTTTCATTGGCTTGCATTGCTCTGTTGTATTGGTGCATCAAGTATGAGAAACTATAGCATTCCACCCCTTTTGTATGTTTGTTTAATGCTATTTAAACATATGTTAATACTTTTGTACTTGCTTGTATGCTTGCCCATCAATTCCTTATCTGACATGTATATCTGCCACCCCGCCAGTATATGGGTTAGAAACACCACAATCAGCTATAGGATCTACTCTGTTACTTTCACCAGGACGCGAATATTTAGCACCCTTGGATTTTTCCGAAGCCCATATGTTTGTACAGAAAGTCAGAATTCCTTCATTCTTATGTTTAACCTAGTTTCCCTGTTCATTTTCTAGGAAGGTTTTTAGTATGCATGAGAAAAAATCATCTCTTTGTTGAAATACCCTGAATCGGTAGGTCTAGTTTATTCATTTAGCGCTTTGAATGACTATGATAAGGGTCTTGCAGACCAATCTACATGCTGATGCTCCCTCAAACCAATTTAGATCTTTCTCTCTTATCTATGGACGTTGGTAGCTATCGAATTGCTGGTGAAACTTCTAACTGGGTGTCAATATTTGATATTTATCATCTTTTTCTCGCATCCTTTATAACTAGTCATAGATCATCTAATGCCTCAGCCGCTAGATGCGCATATTTCTGCTGCAGTAGCAACTCTAGTCTCTAGCTAATACTCTTGTCCTTTAAATGACAAATATTCATGCTTTATGCATTCCTGCTGTACTTAGGGTAAATTCATGTTTCTCTTCTTGATAAACATGAAATGCATCTCAAGGGGGTAGTTTTGTATTTTAAGGCCTAGTAGCTGGGGGTACGATCGTCTTTCTATAATATCACATAGAATAGAGGTGAATTGGTTGACGGGGTTAGTAAAGTACAACAACTTCCTTCGAAGTCCCAGTAGTCCCATTTACTCCAACCTCAACCAAAAATGTAGAATCTTCTTCCCTCTTCACTACTACTCATCTTCTCATCATCTATTGAACTTATAATTCTGGAATTGTAGATATGCGAGGTTGTTGGTGGTTGCAATGTTAGGCAGCGGGTGGTGGTGTTTTCCGAGCACAATAGCTGAAATATATGTAGCAAAAGGTCTGTATTTTCTGTGAATAACACCGAGAATCCGAAGAGCATCTTCAATGGAGTTTTAGAAGTTCAAAGGCTACTTCAATGGAGGAAGATGACACCCTTACCCTTTGAGGTTGATTATGCCCTTCTTTTCTCCCCTTTATGGAGGAAATGGTGGTGTTGGTGGGAGATGGGTGGGGATGAAAGCTCGAGCTCCTTTAATGGAGCTTTATGTGAGAAAAGGAGGAAGAAGAATAGCGTGTTAATTACAAATGGTAACCAAGTGTTGCACGGTGTGAATTAACAAAATGATTCACATTTCTTAATGATGCAAATAAAATAGTATAAAATGCTTTTCCCAATGCAAATAATAACAAAAATGTCACTAGAGATACACTCCATGTTTCTCAATAAAAGAAACTAGGGCTCGCCCTGTAATAAACATGCCTGATTTATGAGTCCTTGCCATACTTTGTTAGGTGTTACGTCAGTTGAGGAAATTATGGGAAGAATATGTCAGTATATGCTGCAACATCATTGCAGAGTGCACTAATATGCAATCAAAAAGGAGAAGCGTATAATTAACCTTAAAATCATCAAAAAAGCAAGATTATATATTCATTGAGTACGCTAACCAACGTCATTGAGTACGCTATATTTTTCTGTCAACATTAAACGGTATGTGACTGCGTTTTGTCCCGATAGTGCGCATCAATTTCTGGTTTTTTTTCTAACTTAAGAGCTGAAAATAGTTCTCCTAGCTCAGAGGAGCTTCTTTCTGTTTCATCGTCTTCTTTTATTAATCGACGGGAGCTATTCTCTTTGACTACTAAACGTAATTCAATGTTTTATGAGCCGCTACCTAAGAATTCAGATTGTTTCTGTTGGCACCAGGCAGAGCAAAACACTCGAGTATGGATCATGACATTAATACATTATATTGGCTTAAGGCAAAACAATAGATAAGACTCCCTCTACCTCTAATATGATTATTTCAGAATCTTATAGTATGTTATAGGAAATTAAATCATTAACTGAAAGGGTTTGCTGGTTTAGTTTGCTCCTCACTGAGTCGTTGATAGAGTTTAGTATATGTCTTTTCTATATGTCAACAACTATATCATTTATGTATGAAATGGTTGAATCAGCAGAAAATTTTCATGTATACATTATAAGCCTTTGTAGTGACTAAACGCTTTAGTAAAAATATACCTATTGTATACAAGATCTCGGTTGCTGTTAAATGCTGAGCATAGGTCTCGAATGTTGGCTAAGTATGATAGAAACAACACCCGCAACAGGAGCAGAGCTGCTGCATACATACACCCGAAGTACTTGAATCTTATCAGAAAGAATTAGTGTAACCAAGATTCAAACAAGGCAATTAGGCATATATCAGGTTGTTAAATTTTATATGATCTATCTGTCTGTGCACATAAGGTCATTTCCTTTGCTTAACCTTAGGTGCTCGACGCGTTTCTGTAGTTCTGATCAATATGCAGGGACAAATTACCATGGATCATCTACTTCCTCAGCTATCAGATATGCAAATCCATGCCACTGTAGCTTCTCTAGGTACTTGTACAATATTAAATTATTGTCTTCCTTGATGATATATTGCACGACAACGAAAGGCTTAATAAACTCGTATATCACATCTAATAAAGTATATTTATGCTAATCCTGCATTCCTACTACCTTAAACAAGTCTGATAATCACTTTCGTTACGTCAGTTGATATGAGGAAATTCTGGAAAGAACTTGCTGGACCATATGTGCACTAATTCGCTAATTATATGCTACTAAAAAGAAGCATTATAATTTAAGCCAATTAACAAACCTCCATTTCATAATTTGTCATATTATCAAGGAGTATATTCTTTGCATCAATGTAATTAATTATGTAATTATATATCCTGTCAACATCAGACTAGTGAGCATAATTATCTAGACAGGTTGCTGCTGTTTCTGTTTTCTTCCAACAGGAGCCCTTATAACTGTACAATAATGCTCCAAGCTTAGTGGAATTAATCTCTTTGGTTGGTTAAATTAAGTATAATTTCATGTCGACTTCAAAACCATATTATTAAAGTTTCTGGATTTGCATATCAGCCAATCCCAAGTGGAATAGGTGATTTTATGACAAAGACATCATTTTACCAATATATCAGAATTGCTTAACAGTTTTATTCTTAAAATTAATTAGATTATATTAGTGGGTTTTGGTGGTTGTTTTGTAAGCATGGCTGGTAAACAAGTCTGAATGGTATACGCTTGTTTATTTTTTAAAACTCGAAATGATCTGAGTTTTAGCCGAGCTCTGTTCATTAATAGTCAGGCTTGCAGAAGCTTGTTCATAAGTTTTAATTGGATCATGATACAGTTTTTTTATTGAAGTTCGTTATGTCTAAATATAGTAAAATTGAGAATAGGAGTGATTATTATTATGTTATCATACATTGGAATATAAAGTATATACAATTTGAATTTTGTTCAACTCAAGCTAAACAATGTAAAAGTTAACATATGTTACAACACTACAAGAGATAAAATGCGTTATACTATAGTAGTAACTATACCATGATATGATCTAGATGCTCACAAACATCAACTAGATGAATATAATGGTGTTAAAATTAAATCTTTTATCTATGAATTTCAAAAAAAATTGTTTGTGCTTGCTTATTTACTTGTTGAATGAACTTAGATCGAGTTTGTTCACAAGCTCTTCACACACGTATGTACCCTGATGAGCAAAATCCGGATAAATCTAAACCTTCACTCGCAAGATGTGAGTGAGCTTGTACACTCCTACAATCATTGGATCTGCCCAATTCAAGCAGTACAACACTACAAGTCTATAACCAATCCACTGACCAAGTGAAGGATGTATCAACTGTCAATGTCGCATGAGGCCGGAATTGAGGATTATTAAACAACAATTTAGATAAAGAATAAGGGAGTACTAAATTAAACTTTTATTAGAAGAATTGCACTATATATACATATATATAAGATACCATACAAATTGTATGGATGAATTTGTTAACGAACATGGATGAGTCAAGAATGGTGGTCATCAAATTCACTCACTTTTAATTCTGCCTTGAAAATTTTGTATGAATTCCAAATGTAGGCGTGTGTATTCCTCATTGTAAGTAATGAAATCCTTGATAGAGTATAAAACCAATCCTACGGCTCTAATCATAATTGTTAATTGGTGGAGTTGGTTCTTTGATATGGTGCCAACGTGAAAAGAAAGTCGTCACAGGTTCAAATAATTAAATCTCATCCAATTAACTCTCCTTGTGAAATATTTAGCGCTGAGTATCAAAATGTCTATGTTACATCCCTACTTTAAGCCGGCCTATAGGGGTGTCATGTATGTTTCTGATAAGTGTTTATGATTTCCAAAGACCTTCGGAGTATTCTAACAAAGGAGACTTAACTAAGCTTGCTTGTGAGTTTTTTTAATTACTTTTTTTTTTTAATTATTATTATTATTTTATTTATGGGTTGATTTCCATCTCTATCATCATATCTTCTTTAATAATTAATAATGAAAGGAGTAGGACTAACGAATATAAAGCCAAAGGAGGGCCTTATGCATGTAGGAATCAAAGAAAAGTGTGACAAATTTGCTTCTTCTAATTTTCTACATAAATTCTATTATTCTAAAGGTGGAAAG